TCACCTTTCTTCCCCATACTGATGCTCGGTTTGAACTGCAGGAGATTGTCTTGACCATGTCTACATGCCTAAATGCACTGAGTTGCCGTCATGTGATTGGCTGATTAGAAATTAAGTGTTAACGAGCAGTTGGACAGGTGTACCTAATAAAGTGGCCGGTGAGTGTACATCGAGCATATGATGATACAGATTGATATTTTATTTTGTCKCAATATAATTGAATCATGAACCATTATATCGATATATCGATATGGATCGATGTATTGTTACACCCCTAGTTGCAACAGGGCAGGATAACCAAAGGGCCCCCAGACAGCAAACGATTACACTTTAAATGCAACGACAAACTGTAGGAGCATCCCTTTAAATCAGTGGTGTCCAAAGTCAGTCCTCAAGGGCCGGTGTCCTGTATGTTTTATGTGCTGCCCTGGTTCAATACAGCTGAACCTAATTAATTAATTAGTAGGCATCTTAAGTGTGCCATCAAGGTCTGCAGAGGCCTRCTAACAAGGGCAGCTCCTAAAACATGCAGGACACCGGCCCTTGAGGACTGACTTTGGACACCACTGTTTTAAATTCTATGGTGGTCAATGCAGGAAGGTGCAATGACGCTGTTATTAGAATCCCCCACAAGGGGGCCAGCATTCATACAGAAAATAAACTGATTTTTTTTTTCCTTGTTTAGACTGAGGAAAACATAATTTATCTTATCATTTTGAACTGATTCTGAAATAGTTTAAACTTAGAAACAGCTCTAAGGTTTAAAATTGGGAGTTGAGATCAGATACACAAAAATAAAAACAAAAAATAATAAATTATCATGTTTCATWTAACATCCTGCCTGCCACACTTGTTGTTATGCTTTATAAATTTCATTGAAAACTTCTTCTCTTTAATCTGGCCTCTGCAGGTGATTCACCGGTGGGTGCCTTGCAGCCGAGACCCAGCCAGTCGCTCCCATATCAACAAAACCATCCTGCTGGTTCAGGTGGACGATAAGCTAGTTCCTGTTATTGAGACTGGGGTCACAGAGTTGGGCGCTGAGGTTTGAGACTAGCAAAGCCCACATCCCTCTCTCAGTTTGTGTGGAGGTTCCTGGCGTTCACCAGGATACACCAACCTGTGGGTAAACAGGAAATGTGAGCTCCCAACCCCCCTCACACGTCCTAACGCTGAAGTGGAAGTCCAACCTTTACAGAACATGCTTTACTGCATCAACACACATTCACAGAACCTGCCTTGTGTTGCATCACAGACCTGCTGCATGACAGTAAACAGTAAACAGCCCTTGGCTAGTTCTCGCTACAGATAATTCATTTCTATGCATTACATCAGCAGTTTGCTTTCAAATACTGGCAGAGCTGAATAGAAGAAATGAGTGGGACATTTTTTTAAACTCTTTAATATTTTTCCCAAATAATTCTATAGAGATTTTTCCAAGGTTTCAAATATGTGGAAGCTAGTTTTTATTTATTTATTTTATTTTATTTTTTTACTTTTTGGCTGCCAAAACTGCAAGGAGTTTTGTAGTTCAGAACAGCGCTCAACAGACTGATTGTTGTCATTCCTTTTCTGATTCATTACAACTGTACAAGAATAAGTTGCGCAAACAAACTTGCACTATTTTTTCTCTATTCACAGTGATGCACTACAATCTTAAAATTATATTACATTTTATTTATTACGGAGTCTGAATGGCCATGGTTTCTGATGCCTTGGGAATGAAAACAAAAAAAAGATGCAATCATTATTCTGTTTTCAGCCACTTTTATTTGAATATTTTTTTGTTTGATAAACTTGAAGGTACTTTTTTACTGTATATGAATTTATCTATACATATATATTTAGACACACACACACACACACACACACAC